CGGGAAAGCATCACAGATAGACAAGACCAGGTCGAGTCATCTGGATAGAACGCCGTACATCAACGGTCTCACAGCGCGCCGTTAAGACGTAACCGCTGTCGTTTCGCTAACAAGCAGCTAACGAAATCCTGACGAGAACGAGGTTAGGCTTAACCAGACGTAATCGTCACAATTGCGCACGCACGTGCAGTTATGAATGATGCAAATTGTGACTTTGGCACTTGAGACATCGTAGGTTGAAGCACAACGTTAACAGATGACATTGAGTCCGCCTTCAAGGAAGTTCCATGCCCGTTCCATGGCTAATGAAATCGTCGACGGCCAGTGGATATCTTACAAAAGTACGCCGTAAACGGTTTGAGCTAAGTCGACTCTCTACATTGAGTATAGTCTATATTATAGGTTTCGGGCCACCACTGTACTCCCACCATGTACTATGATCTATTAGTAGTAGAATACTATGATAGTCACTATGATAGTAATGATAGTAAATTATTTGATTATTCAGACACAGCTGGCCGAAAAATGCCGCCATCATCATTTACTCGGTTGACTTATCACGCCTAGCATGTTGTACGGTAACAAAGTAATATGGTGATAAAGCCTTGAAGTTTGAAAGGTCTCTCCAGGTTCGCGGGTCTCTCGTTTGAAATCGTTAAGCCTTGGCAGTCCAATTCAATAGCCAATTTCTCAGACTGCCCGTCCTCAGAACTCATCACTTCATCACAATACCATCCTGCCCCCATGGTCCCATGGGCCAATAGCTTTGTAAGATTTTTGATGAAAGTCGCGAAGATCGCGAAACAAAGTTGCGGTCTGCCAATGCCACGGTCTCTTGGTCAACGTCATGCAACGTGACAGCTAGAAAGCTAGACGTAGTGACTAGACGTGACTTGACAGGCTACTTGAGTCGACTCTGAGGCTTACAGGCTGTCAGGCCCGAGTCAGGACCTACTAAGTACTTTTAAGTATGATCATCTTTCCGCGCGTGACGCGCGCTTCTTGACCCAATGGATCGAAGTGGGATTGCATAATATTCGGTTTGATGATTCGTGATTGCCCTCCAAATTTAGCAAGTTGTCACCTTCACCATTCACCGGCGAACAAGCTGGGCGCTTTTTGCGGGATAACGATATCCAAAAGGCTCATATGATTACGATCGGCTAAAAGTGCATCCAGTGGCAGCTACCGACGTCATCTTTACGCAGAATGGCTAGTAACGACTGTCAGAATTTATGGCACTCGGGATTCTTGTGGCCGCGCACTAACTGCACGTGGGCTCGGTTGTATCTGCCCGGCTGGAGGTTCAAGCCTTTTAACTCTTTGAAGCTCCCTGAAAGTGCCCGGGACTGGCACCGCACTCGCTGGCCCACGACTAGCACGAGCAAGTTTACACGCCCGGAGTCCGGACTTTGTGCCGGAGTCGGCCGAGTCGGGCACTCGGCAGACTTCTGACTCACCGGTCTCCGTGCCAGAGTCGGCCGCGAGTCGGGACTCGCAGACAGACCTACCTATTACCGTTTTAGTACGTATAGGATAGGTAGGTATGTCTTTTTACGGTATGGTCACTGCCCGGGGAACAGGCTGGGTTAGGTTGCGGGTTAGGGTGGGCACGAGTGCGGAGCGGGTAAATTTGTTGGTTTAGGTTTTCTTGTTTAATGATTTTACCCCGGGGACTGTTGCTATTCTATCGGATCTCTCCGAGTCCCGGTGGCCCTGCGGTGGACTCTTCAGATGCTAAACCCCAGGCTGGCATGGAGGATCTGGGTGATCCCTGCAACATTATCGTCCTGCAATTGGGCCCCTGCCCATGTGAACATTGCGTCATTTCCAGAGCAGTGAAGTGAGATGATAGTCAGATGCCGCATCCATCAACCTGGTGTGGCAGAATTGACTTCATAGTGCGGGGATGTAGCCTGTAGGCTGCAGCAGGCCTGGCAGCAGGCCACGCGGCCGCTGGTGGCTGCACCCCGGTTTGCAAAGTCCTGACACCTTCCATTGAACGTTGTCAAGCTGCTGACATGACAACTCAGCAGCTACGGTACAACGCAGGTATCTTGTAGAACCATTATAGCTTCAGAAGTGAGGTAGGAATTCTGCACGGTGCACTCAGCCTGCACTGCATGGATCAACTGATCGGCTCAACACTCACAAGCTGCGCCGGCCGCCGCGCTCTCATTGTTCCGTACATGACGTACGTGAACTATAAGGTCAGGTACGTGCGTTTTCTCGTTTATCTTGGGGTTCCAACTTCCTGCTCCCGTATGGATATGAGTACAAAGATCCTGAACGAGAAGGAACGGTCAGACTCCAGAGCATGAGCCTCTCTTTCGGCGGCGCGGATTCGATTCGATGCTAGTGCCACTGGACATTACCTGGCATCTCAGGGCCAGCTCCGACTTGCGCTTCCAGCTCGCGCATTCCAAGTCTAAGCGACTCAGCACTTGATCAGAGAGTGACCACTGACCGAGCTCAGAATCCTGTAGGATTGCCATGATTCGCTGGCTGATTACCCAAGAAGGATGGAGACAGCTTCAGCTGGAGGACAGCTCGTCTAGCTACACAACAAAGCAACGACTCCAATCGCCCTCATCCAACCACTCTTCCTTCAAACAGCCGTGCAGGGGATGAAAATCTGCTTTCTTAACAGTCCTTTCAACAGCAGCTACGACAGGGGCTCACTAGCTCTTCTCATGATCCAGCGTGTCACCGTAGTTCTCTTCTAGCTTGCTTCATCTGTCTGTCTTCTTGGTACTCTTTGCCCTGCTGATTCCAGCTGACTCTTTCCAGGGGGGGCCATGGCGGTGTGCCCGTACCCCCTGGTGCACGGGAAGTGCCCCCCGGAGCCAGACACGTTCTTTGCCTTTGGCTATTCGGGGGTGTACACGTTTGCAGCAGTTATTGGGACCTTGACGTCCTATGCCATCTATGTCTGGATCAAGCGGGTCAAGAGCCGGAAGGGGAAGATGAGCGGTGTCCACGCGGGGGGGTTCAGATTTGCAGCCGCCCAGGTGCGTTGCGCTCCCTGTGTCAGCATTCTACTTGCATCTTGATTGAAGGTGTATTGGTGCAGCGCGCCCTAACTTCTGCAGCGTGTGTAAGCTCTGCAGAGTTGCTTTCTAACATTTTCTTGCCAAGAAGTAAAACACCTGGGGTTTAAAAAGACTGTGCACGTTGATTGGGCCCACACCAAGTGTCTCCACTTACCTCAGGGAATCAGTTTCTGGTCTACTCTGTTCTTTCTGCCTCCCCCATTCAAAGTTTTATTGCAAAGACTGTGCCAAACTTTGTGACACCTCTGCCCACTTAAAAGGGCCCTTCTTTCCCAGTAACTTCAAATCAAACCCCTTAAGCAGGCAGGCGGACGCACAGCAACAGCACCTGTGTTTTACCTACTCTAAAACTTTTGACTCTTTGTTGTGAGGAAGACATATGCCCTAATCACCTGCCATGTTGAATTGGGCTCCACAGATCCTTCTCATACTGGAGGACAAACGTTCTTCTTGCCACCTTTAAGCGCAGCCTTCATTGCTCAAAAGAGGCAGCAGTGCTCTTTTCATAAGTAGGAACGTGTGTTTTACTCCTACTTTGATTTCTGCAGGGAAATGTCCCCGCTATGATCTACATCAAGAACAACGCGCCCCACTTCGATGTCAACACTGCATTGCATGGTTGGACTGCCCTCCACGCTGCTGCAATCCAGGTCAGAGTTGCGCTTACACTCATACTTTGTTGCCAAGCCAGTCTGCTGATCGTGTCCCAAAACTTGGTGTATTTGAGACTTTCGCCGTTACAGGGTTTGGAACTTCCCAGCTGTCTGGATGTTTCAAAAAGGCACATGTGTCTAGCAAATGATAGGCGCCCAGCAGTTTGTCCTTGACCACTTGAAATCAATCCAGTCAAGATATCTTGGTAGAGGTGGCGCCAAAGTGATCGGGATCCAACTGCAAATAGCAGTCTGCCATTGTAGGTAC